TTGTAAGTTGATATTCCCAATTTAATTTGATGGATATTTAGCCTAGCAAAGGAGTTTGAATGTCACCCTGTCCCAATTTACACAAATTTTTTGTATCTGGAAAGATTCCCTGGGACATTTCATAAGGCTGTCCATAGTCAATCATTAATTACACATTCTAATAATAATAATTTTGAGTACCCTAGAAATTGTATCCAATTTCTATCAAAAAACAAAGTCATTGATAATTTGATTATATTTATTATATTGAAAGATTTTAATTAGTAAAAACAAGTCTCGTTCTTCTCTAAGATAAACATATCCCAAGTTTTTAACCTAAAATGATATAAAGTTATTCAGAAATCTATAAACTATTTAACAAATAAAAATACATACATCAAGTAAAGCCAATATTGATAAATGGATTTGAAGATGACTCTAATATGGCAATCCATAAACAGATCTCCATTTTTAATTCTGAAAATAGATTTGAAAACAATTGAAAATTGGTAGGTATAGATTAAATTATGAAACAGAAAAATAGGAATTTACAAGTAAACTTTAAATTCACTTTTTTGAGCCTAGCTCATTAATTAACTGCGTTTGAGATAATTTCAAATTATCTAAACATGATAAAGAGTAGAGTAGACAAAGAATGAAGAAATCTAGGTGTTTAAAATATTTACTTTATCTACAGCTTAAGAAATGGGAAAGTAAATTATCAATGGCAGGCTTCAATGGATTCACTAATTTTTTAATAAAAGTGAATTGCATACATTAAGGATAGCATTTATTGCATAATAGTTTAATATCATTTGATATTTAATAATTGAAAAGAAACAGGTATCTAATAATTTTTGTATATTCTAAAAGTTCTTAAGAAACAAATAGTATAGCTTAAGATATCATTGAAGAATTCAAAGAGATAAGTTGTTGGATTTAATTACATGTTTTAAGAGATAGTTCATATTTAAAGTAATGTTGCCTGCATGTCAAGCTCAGTTTTTTTAAATTGTGAATTATTTCAACAGTTGCATCGAAAGAGAACACTAGCTCACAATTTTCGATATTGTTCTTCTAAACTTGCTATTTAAAATTAAATTAATCTGTTAAAATATTTTGAATAATTAGCAATTTAAGACAAAGCTACTAGCAGGAACATTTATTTATTTATTAAGGCCTTGATTGAAGACAGAATTAAATTAAATTTAAATCTTCATTAATATATAAATTTGATATTGATAATTTTCTATTCTTATTCAGACATTTTAGATCCAAAAATATTTATAAGTACTAAAAAAACATAGTAAATCAAAAGCAAATTAGCAATAGAAATTGGGAATTACATGAAACCCTTAGATAACAATAAAAGATCTTTAAGCTATCTGGAGGATTTATATGAATATTTACCTATATTAGTACACAATATCCTTTACTTAAATATACAGCTTTGACGAATGTATCTCTATTAACTAATTTGATTAAACTACATTACATTATTTTCTATTAATATCCATTCAAAAATTATGAAGCATTAGGCTAAAATAGGCCTATTTCCAACCAATATGGTTGAGATTGATTACTTTAGCAATTTTTAACATCGTAGAGTTCCTTAGAGTCTTTTTTTACTTAGCCAAAAGATAATGCAACATCGTTAAAGGATCTAAAATGAGTTAAAATCTATATTTGTATACTTATATCAATTGAATTAATCTCGATTTAGATTTACTTTTATTTGGGGTCAGCTAGAGCTTTTCCATTCCCTTTTTTATTAGAATCTTTAACTTTTATGTTCATTTATTGATAACAGGATTTAACCTTTATTTCATTTGGAAGTATTTCAAGAGATTAAAATAGATGTCTTAAAGTAAAGTTTTCTTAAGAAATTAATGTTCATATTTAAAAATTTAATATATTGTGAATTTATACTAATTAATTAGAATTAAAGAAATTAATAATACTAATTCTTGGAAAAGCACAGAATATAAAGATTCTAGAATGTGTATCATAATAAATTTATTACTAATAAAGAAAGCACTTAGTGATTTGATTTAAAGGTAGAAGAAATTCTACAATTTGAATAATTAATATAAAATAAGTAGAATTTCAAAAGGTAGAAAATATGCTCTCTTTATATTAGATTTATGATCGAATTTAATAGGAGAATCTAATTATACTTTCCTTTTGACTAAAAATATCTTTTGGAATTTTCATAAAGATTCAAATGACAAAAATGTATTATATATAACAATTTGGTTCAATTACTAAAACTTGAGAGCTGTGAAAGAGGAAGAAAAGGCGATTAGTTTGAGATTACGAAGAATTATTAGATTATTGTAATTTGATTTTAAAATTTTTAAATTATTAATAAATACAGTTTTTGAAAGGTCAATTGAGAAAGGTATCTTAAATTAGGAAGGCAAACATTGTGTATAAATCAAGTTAAGGCACAAACACTTAACGCTCATATTCATCAAGTTTTCCTCTAGAATAAGTGATTTTTTAGTCCATAAATATTTTACTAAATATTTTAAAAGTTCTAAGTTTAATATAAATTTATTGTAGGGGATTCTCTTGAAGTTATTTAAAAAATATTTAGTTAATAAAGATTCCTGGAGATGTTATTATTACATAAATTAATTTAAGATTATGAGCAGTACTAGAATATAGTGATCAAAAACTATTCCGTAATTACAGAGAATACGTTAGAAGAGATTTTCAGTGGCCATAAGATAAAAATAATCAAATAGTGGATAATGTTCCGAAAATAGAAAAATATTGAGGCAATATCATTGTAAAAGGAGAGTAATATGGAATAACCTAAAATAATAGGAATAAGCAACAAACTCGTTTTTTTAAGTATGAAGTAAGTAATAATGCTGTAAAACTGTATTAATGAACACTTAAGTAATCTATATTTACAAGATAAATGCGAAGATTGAAGGAAATTTTTAAATTTCTTTAGACAAGCCCAATACATATTATCTTAAAACATTCATATTTAGGATACCAGGAGGACGAGTCATAATTCCTTTTTATCTAAAAATATCCCGTTTCCTCAAGACAACTGCAGAGTTATGAGTTTAATGATAAGAATAAAATATGTTTAAAAGGGTTACCTGACTTATGGAAAAAATTAGAAAGTTAAAAGAAATTTAAGGCATTTAATATCACTCTACTCTTGATTTGGCTACGTTGAAAAAATTCAAGTAAATTTTATATTAAAAGTTGTAGTTAAGTATTCTGATTCATATCAACAAAAGAGAGCTCAATCTTGATTATTTCAAATTATATTAATATGAATATGGGATCAAAATAAGGGACAAGCACTTTTTTAATATCTATTAAGATTTGAAAAGCCTAATGAACACCTATTATAATCTTTCTAATTAAATACCTTAAGAAAATTTATGGTCTTCTCATTGAAGATTTGGTGTAATTGTTTATATTGAAAGATAGTGAGCATAACGCCACAAATTGATTAGATAAGGCATAGGATAAATTGTGTAAAGAGAAGGATGTAGAAACATATCTCTAATGTCTATGTATTGTTTTTTGAAATCAGGGTCATCGAATAAAGAAAGAAGTTTACTTGATTATGTTAGTCAATTTTGATTAAGGCAAGAGATAATATGATCGTTTATCTAATTGGACTCAGAAGAGGTCTTAAAATTTATTGAACAAGAGAATGTGAGGTTTTTGAAAGAAAGCAAATGTTTTAATTATTGTGATCAATCTAAGAAATTGAAAACAATACCATTAGAGAGCTACAACTTGGATAAGTTGTACAGTTGATTGATAAATCATATCATGTTATGAACTCTCCAAGTTTATTTGATAAGAAAGAAGCATCATTACCCTATATATTATTAAATAGATCAATATATATATTATTCATTTGTTGAATTATGTTAATATTTCTACTTTTGACTTATAACCTAAAGTCACACATGGGTAAAGATCTTATGATGTGTCTATGTTGAGTGTCTTAGTATAGGGTTGAATATTTACGAATGATTCATTTGTTGATTGCTTAATCCATTTAATATACTTATTTGTAATATCAACTTCCATTATTATCATATCATTTGTGGTGAATTTAAATGATAATTATTTATCATCTTTATCTTATTAATCATGATTGAAACATCTGCCATCATAAAATGTAAAATATGTTCTATTATAAGATACTTTATTATAATAAATTCCCTTTTCCAATACGATAAGCAGTTTCATAATTATTCTTTTATATAATATCTCTAAAACCTATTCCTAACATTACTTAAATATTATCTAATATTTTAAATGCAAATTTAACTAATCCATGTTTTGGAATCATTTAATCGCAAATACAACAAAACCAATTACTACTATTAGCAGTATCGACAACCCTTCCATTTTATGAAATTTAACAATTATTATGTTTAAATGATTATGAAAATGTTAAACTTTAAGGATATTAATCTAATTACTACTACTAATAGGATTTATAATATCATACTATTTAAATCTATCTTTATAAATATGTTATATCTTGAGAATCTTTTTGTAACGATGTCAATTAATCTAATGTTTCTTATAATTATTTATTAAGTTTCTCGATATCATTTTCTTTATTTTTCAATAATTAATTAAGATTAGTAATTTAAGAAATCTCTAAAATATATAAAATCTAATAAATTACAATTATTACAATCTTCTTGTGCTTTAGTTAAATTATTTAAAGTAGATTGATTTTGTTTATTCAAAATGTCATTTTACTTAATTGAATCATCATATTTGAATTATAATGAATTTAATAAGGATTCTAATTTTGATTAATTGTCTTAAAATTAAATAATTTTTAATGAATTTGAATCAATTTCATTTTATTTAATTTTTAGTTCTTATTACAATTAATCAACCATTAAAAGTCTTTTAATTTCTATAGTATCTTTTATGAATTTCTAAATTGTTTCTTCATATTGTTCATTAATTATAATATTGGATTCAATAATCTTTTCTTCATTTAATTATTATTCATTATTGATAGTTTATTGTTGAATTGATAAATCAGAGATATTTTAGATAATAGATTTATATAAATTCAAGGCTTAATTGAAAATGCCATGATAAGCATCAAACTTTTAGATTTTCCTTAGAATTTGATTCATATTTTAGATCTAAATATTGTTTATTTTTGAATCTTCAATTTAGATTGTATTTAAAATAGATTAATCGTTTTTGAAAATCTTCAAGATGTCTTCTCTTTTTAATAATTCAAATTCAAATAAGCTCATTAGATTATTAATTATTAAATTATATTTAATTTAATCTTCTTTTTCAATATTAACTTATTAATCTTATAAAGCTATAAATTTATCTTATTTACTTAATATTAAAGTAAGTTCATCTATTTATTCTTAATTGAATTCATAAATATCCGTTTGATTTGACTGATTAAATTATAATAATTTAGTTAATTATTATTCATTATTCAATTTATCTATCAATTCATTTAATATTAATGTATATTATTCTCTCATTTCCTTTAGATTTTATATAATCATTTCTTATTAAAGTAATCTTTGATTTTAAAATAATTTAATTTTATCTTCAGTTTTACCTTTAAATTCATCCCATTTAATCCCTGCATCTTATATTGAAGTGTATTTAATAGGATTATTATAATGTATACAATCAACACATGCTAACCTTGAAATTTAAGTTTCATTTGGTTCTAAATTCAACATTATTATTTCTTTTCCATGTTTATTGCATTTGATGTTGAGAGATGGTGTTTTCTAAATATTAATATACAATAATTACTGATTTATCTACTTGTTTCTCTTTTTAAATACTAGATACTTTAATTTCCTTTGACTTTTCAATTTTTTGATTCTATTATAATATATCAATAACTTATGTATATGAGTGATTATTTGTAAATGATTAAAACATTGATTAGAGAGAATCATAAAATTGATTATCATCTTCTAATTTATCAAATTCTATAGGAATTTCATAATTAAAACTTCCTTTATAATTTGATGATAGAATTTCAACTTCATCTTCAAATTTATAAATTTTAGATTTTTAATCTAATTCTTCTAAATCCTTTTCAATTAATTATATTTTCTAATGAATATTAATTATTATCTTTTCAATAACATTCTCAACTTAAACTTTGTATTCTTTAATCAAACATTGAATTTATTTAAATGTTTCTATTCTTCTTTAATTTTCCTTAATTTTCAGTGTTTATTATTCACTTTTCATCTCCTTAATCATAATTTTAGTCTCATCCACCAAAACCATATTTTATATATCAATCTTCTCTATTAAACACTTTATACAAAGGTATTTCTCCTCCTTACTCGTTGATTACTTTAAATCAATAGTTGTTATCTCCATCTAATGTTTTTAACAAACCTTCCTCTCCTATTCCAAAGACATCTACAAATCTTTTATTTTTTATTTATTTATATTAATCAATATACACACAATTCATAATATCTACTCACAAAATGAAAAAATAATAACAATATTATAATAAGAAAGTTAATGGTTTATGGTTTATGGTTTTCAAAATAAGTTCATAAAAGATCAAATTAAGAATATTGAATTCATCTTCTTTAATGATATTAATAATTGGAACACGCTTTTCATTATTTTTTTTCTTCAAGCTCCAAATATTCTAATAGAATATTAGTAATAACTTAATGCCGTCTATTAAAATTCTCAACCACTGTTACTTACAAAAAAATTATAAATTATCAGTATTTGATTACCACCACTTGAAAGAAACTTGATACAATCAATAAATTTTTCCTTTTTTGTGTTTGTAATCACAGAGAATCTTCGTTCTTTAATACATTATTATAAGGCCAACACATCTTACAAATCATATTGCTATTCAAAAATTAGTCTTCTTTTTCAATTAAGTGACAACTTGATAATGGTATATATCCTTAATTAATTTCCATCTCTTCATTATTTTTCTTATATTATGAAGTTATTCAGCAATCAACTGGCATTTCATGAATTCCTGTTATAGTTTAAATTAATCCAATCTTAAAACATCAACTAAGTTTGTTATCCAATCTTTAGAAACATAGGCATTTTATCAAGACTTTTAATTGAAACCTGCTTTTAGAGCAATTATCATCTATAATTTCTAAAAGTTTTCAATCTTTTTAAAGGAGACTTGAGATTTGGTTCTTAATATTCAGTCTTTTCTCTTTGTGATTTTTCAAAACTTACTTAAGCAACTGATAATCCAAGTTCTAAGAATTTAATGCAATCCAATATTCACAAGAGTTAAATAAGAGTCTTTTACTTATGGTACTTATGAATCCAGAATGATAAATTCAACCTTTTTTCTTCCTTTTGGTTAAAAAATGACATTAAATTCAATAATCAACAGGTAAATTTGAATTGTTTCCTTGATAATGGTTTGACAAATACTATATTTTAAATAATTGATAGATATTATGATATTTTAGTTTTGAGTCTGTTTTCCTATTTTTTATTAATGTAATGTTGAATTTCATAATTATTTTCGCAATTCTTGTACGAAATCTAATAAGATTTCTTGCTTAAATGATGCGTGAGTGCCATATTTTGTTTGAAATTTATTGCGAATGATCATATATTTGAACCTATAGCTGCTTGTATATTATAAATATACTTATTTCGAATTTATTAGATTAGTAAATTGAAATATTTATTATTATTCTGAAGAATTGCATTATAACTCTTAATTTCTTTTTAGTTAATTGTTAAAATTAGCTTTAAAAATAGATTTAGCATAAGCATTTTTTTAATAAATATCCAAATTACAAATTTTTTAAATTAAGATTCAGAAAATTAATATTTAGCTCTTGTGTTATAAATATATTAACACCTTCAATTTTGATTTTGTTTCCAATTTAAAGGGATCTCTTATTCACTGATACATCTCCTAACTTGATTATTGTTTACCCAAATATAAGTTTGAAAAATTTGACTAATACCTTTACAAAATAATAGCTGCAATAACAAAGACTATCATCTAATTCAGATAAATTTCAAATAAATATGTGTCCTCTAAACAAATTAAATGTAGATGAATATTTTTGAAATCTATGTATATGTTTGGTGTGTGGGTTTTGTGCTTTTCTATTAGTTTTTGAAGATTATTATTGATAATATTTTTCATGCCTACAGAATTCCTTAATAAAAGGCAATTACATTTTTTTAGAATATTTCCACTAATTTTTTGTTTATAATAATTATTCTTATCAATCCCATAAAGTTACAAAATATATGTTAATAAAACATTTAACATGAATTTGGAAATGTTACAAAAAAAAATAAAAATTTCAATATACAATAAGTATATTTTTTTATGTATTTTATTAGTATGATGAATAAATTACAATTACTCAACATCTATCACTTTATTTAATAATTACTTTAAATATGATTTCTTATTCTTCTAAAAGATCTTGTGAATCTTAAATCATATAATCTCATATCCTTTGGGAGATTTTATTGCGATTACTCTGATAAAAATTGTTTAATTCTAATATTATTGTTTTCTGAATTTTATAAATTCTGAATCCATTTCTTCATCATTGTCGCCATATCATTTTATCACAGCAGTGCAAATCAATTCATTTGATCAATAGAATCATAAAATTTTCTTCAATTAGATTTGAACATATATTACCTATTGTAATAATACTAATTAAAATATATTTATTCAATTGAACTTTTTGATTAAGAGCATTAACTTTAGCTCATATTCGGCATCATGAGCCGATTTAAGTTTAGCAAATCCATTATAATCTTTCCAAAAAACATTGACTTATCTTTTAATCAGGATAAAATTTATGAGTTTGTTAAAAATTATTTTTTAAGATTTAATTAGAATAATAATAGGGAAATTTGGAATTGCAGCTTAAATTACCATACTAGCATATAATTTTTCATCTGCTAGATTTAGACCTTAAATTTAAATAAATCTAGTGTAAATTTAAGCCTAAAAATAGCAATATGAAATATCAACTAATATCATTATGATCTGATTTTCATCTCTTACCCTAAGGGAGATTTCTTTAATATTTATTAAAACCATCACCTCAAAATAATATTTTTCAAGATAACTTTTTCTTTAGAGATAAATTAGCAGCTTAATGAAGTTATTATAAATTCATAAAGTGAAAGTATCAAAGAAACCCTGAACATAACTTAATTATAATTCGTCACATCGTTCTATTAAGCAGAGTTAAAATTTAAGGATCATTGTATTAAATTACTTAATTCTAAACCTTCAAAATATTAAAATAAATTTAGGTAATTTTAATAATAAAACTTTATATTAGATTAATAAGTTATGGGCATAAATAGTTAATCTGGTACTTTACACACGAATTATATACTCTAACTCCTATCTACTTACTAAAACTATGAAACATAAAGAATATGAAAACATTCACTCTATAATAAATTGATAAAATTCTTTTTTGTCTAATAAAAAAGACAAATGTAACATAAGGTAAAAAATAATTTTATGAATTTATTAATTTATTAATATATGGAAAAGGCTAAAATGGACATCGATTCTAAATGGATATATTTAGATGAGAAGCATTTTTTTTTATTTTTCTATATAAAAATTAGATTTGAAGTTTTAATTACTTTATTTTTTCCATTTTCAATCTATTACTAAAGTGGAGTAATACTAGTCTTTTTTTGTAGAAAGTTTAAATGAAGGTACTTATATCCTTATAATATAATTATGATTATGCTTTCTTTATTTACCATCAAAGAGGAATACTAAATCCTAAATAATAATAACTATTTCAATCAATAGAATTGGAGTTGATAATATTTTGTGTAAATTCCGAGTTTAGCCATTAACTTTGTTAAGTCATAAAATGGAATTTCAATTGTTACCATTTTTGTACTAATAAATTAGTTTCTTAAATTTCTAATTAATTAAATATACAATCTAGAAAAAGGGATAGAATCTTGATCTTGTTTAAATTCTTTAGCATTTCAGTCATAAATTTGGAAATTGATTTTTATTCTAGAAAATCTTACTTAGATTTTCAATATTGTAGAACTTGGGCAATTTATTTACGATATGAATCTAATTAACCAAAAAAACCTTTTGTACTATTTATACACTTTGATATCATACTTATTTTCGGTTTTAGTTTTTCTAAAGGGATGAGGTGTTTCAAAAGTGATTAGATCTTGAGTTGTTTAGTTCAGATCAATTTGGATAATGAAGTTCAGTTTAGAGTTGAAGTTATATGGTCATGACTTTATACTTAAAAGAAATAACAAGGACCAAACTATTAGAAATTCTTGTTATAAACTACAGCAAAAATCTTTAGTATATTGAAGTTATAATCTAATTAAATCATATCTAATACTGAGAAAGTATTATTCAAAAATCTTAAGTATCTTACTTTAAGTTTTAGTAGAGAATTCAAAATCCAAGATATAGGCAGTTACAAGAACGATGATCATTAGGCGAAGTAGTTTAAGAATTTAATGAGTTCTAATCTTAGCTTCTAATCAGTATTTGAAGGACATAATATAAAATTGAAAATGGTACATCATATACAATATGCTTACCTCAAATTCTAATAAGCATAAAATCACCATAATGATTTAAAAATTTCTAATCAATCGAAAAGTTAATATTAATTCAAATCAAGAAAAAATTGAAAAATAAGCAAAGTTTAATTTGTATCTGCTTTCCTTTTTCTACTCAAAAGTGGATTTTGTTAAAATCAAAGCCAGATTAATCAATAATCTGACGTAAGAGATTTTGAAAAAATTATTTATAAATGTATTATTAAAGCATTTGATAAGGTTTTTCTGAGTGATGATTCTTAAAAGCGAAAATTATCATACACTTTCATACCAATTAATCAAACTGATAATATTACTTAATGTAATAAAACAAGCACTATATATCAAAATAATAATATTAAATTGTTTAAAATATTTTTATATCTTCTAAAGTATAAAAGTTTTAATACAAATGTAAAATCCACCACCATATATTAAAGGGGAAATATAATCCTCCTTAATACAGTATTGTTTTGATTAGTCCCATCATATTTGAACCTAAATAGATTAGGATATCGTGAATTGAGTCTCATTCTAATTGGAAATTGACTATCTAATTTGATCGTAGATCTTTATTAAGAATTAGATGAGTGTTATTCCTACATTTTATAACTTAAACTCTAATAGATTATCCTTAAGAAGATGCAAAAGCTCAACCAATCAACACGATATCTAATAAAAAATTAATATTTTAGTATTGAATAAATTTTTATTTTGAGTCTACACATCTCACAATTGTATTGAAGAGATTTAATTTACAATTAGTAAAACAGTTTTTGTGACCAATAAAGTGCATAAGAAAATGATAACATACGCTAGGCTAAATAGACAGCCAGATCTACATTAGCTGAAGGCGAGGCCAAATAAAACATCATTTAATTAAATAATTCAGATATTCCAACTGAAATTCTTGCTCTAACAAGTGTATTCATTAGTAACTAATATTTAATATGATTACAAAGGAAAAATAAAAATATCCATACAACTCTTCTTTGTAAATAGAAGAGAATATGATTCCAGATAATATTCCACCTGAGGCAAACCATTTTCAGTTTCGAAAGATTTTTTATTTATTCTCAATTTTTCTATAAACATTGTCTTAACTTTCTGTCATAAGGAATTCACTGTTTAGTGATCATCAAATAAAAGAATGTGAGTTAATAATATCTCAAATTGAGGTATATGTTTAAAATACAAATAAAAGAAAGTGTTTGAATGCTGAAATCATCCTCAGTAATTTCTCAATATCATTTTGATGCTATTTAATTATTTAAATTTCAATTGAACCCAGATTATTATCATTAAGAAACTAAACTATTACTTAAATTTATAAAAAAGAAAATTTACGTTAGATCATGGAAATTCCTAAGTATCTTTTGTTACAAAAAGAAATTCTTTTTATAAATTTTTTAATAATATAAGCCTGACAGAGAATTTAAAAAATGATATTTCGTCAGCAATTGAATCAAAGGTAGCAGATGTGATTAAAAGGTTAAAGTATTCATAAGTATTACTTAAAAATAACACAGCTTTTATTAATGAAATTTATGGATATACCTTTATAGTGATCTGATTTATGATTAAAGTTTTCTATATTTAGATGTAGTTCATACGAAAATTAACTATACTTCTTAATTACATTCTTTAGTATTAGAACAGTTCTATATTCTCTATGAATTGAGTTTTGAGGTTTTATAATTATTATTTTTATATTAGTGATTACTCTGAGGATCTATCTATAATGGCAATTTGCATAGTTTTTATTTCTAAAAATTGATAATTAATCTTAATCAGAATAGTGTTTGACAACTCTACTAGGCCTAAATTATTTTTTTAATTTAATAATTATCTCTTTACGATATTAATGTAGTGTTAAAAATATGATTAAATTAATTCATTTTTATCTCTAGTATTAGTTATTTTATATATACAGAATTACTCTATTTAAACCTACTATTAACATTATTTGCTTCATCCTCAAAAGCATGTACATATTGCCTAATGTAAATAAAAAGAATTGATTATTGTTTTTTTTGAGTATTTGATCCATTAAGGTATTTAGTTTTAACATCTACTTTAATTTTCATAAATTAATATTTTGAAATCCAAACTCAAAGGGCATCTTATTTATTTTTAATCATATACTATATTCTAAATGTTCTCTAACTACTATTACTCTGATAATTTATACTTACTTTTCTAACTACTACTATTTCCAAAACATTTATTCTTTCCCATCATATACATAAATGACCTAATGGAAATTTTATCGGTAACATGAGAAGAACACATCAAAACAATTGGATCGAAAAAATCAAAATAACAATTATTTCTACAATATATCTCCTTCCTTTTATAATAAAATTTAGTTGGGTTTTAGATTTATTAGAGACTTAATCTCTTTAATGTTTTGGAGTGTTGAACCTTGCAAAAACTTTCTTTTTCCTCTTTAATGCTAATATCCTTAACCATTTTTATTTTTATTGAATATAATTAACCTAAAATAAAGGAACATGTTGTTAAAGAGTCTATTTCAGACCAAAAAATAATTATAACTTAAATTTTTTTCTTATCATTAGAATTGAAACTAGCTGTCATCAATTATGTAAACTTATCATCTTAATCTTTTTTTCAAAATTTGTAGAAAACTTTTGTTAGAGTTTTTCCTTACATATTTAATAGATAAAATCAATGCATTTGCTTGATAGACTAATTCTAATCTGATCTTAGTGTTATTTATAAATAATTTCCATCTCAGTTAATAAACTTATCCTGAAATAGAATATCTGAGTTAATAAAAAATAAATCTCATAAGAAATCAAGTTTGATTAACTTATTTCATTAGGATAAAGTCAACATATAGCAAAACTAAAAGGCTCATAAATATAATTTAAGAAGAAGATATTAACAAATTTCAAGCAAATAATTACAACTTCAAATTATACTACTCTTTCATTTGTTATAATTCTTATTTTTTCATAAATACCCTGTCCGTTAATCTAACTCAAATCACATACAATAATTTTTAACTCCTAAAAAAGTGATTTACCAATTATCATTAAAATCATTACTTATTAATCCTATTCTCGATTTTCATTGAGTTATATTCTCCTTCAACCAAATTTAAGCTTTTAATAGTTACATTTTGTTGCTTAATTATTTTCTCTATTTCATTTTCTCTTCATAAGTTATTTAGCCTCATTACATCCAACGCCAATCATTTTATTTCACCCTTCAATTTTTTTTCCTTCTATCCACCTACCTCACTACTGGTATGTATGGGTTTAGTATTTCACTCCTATACAAATTTTCTCATTTACTAATTTTTTAACTTTGTTTTACCATCAATCAATTTAATCCATCAGCCAATTTTTAAAGAATTTCCATCCCAGCATTCAAATGTTCCGCTGCACTATCAATAAAATTTTATATATTTTAAAGATTTCAGTTGACCTTCCAATAATTGATTTTTCTCCTTATTAACAAGATGATCCGAGTGCTAATTTTATTAACGTTCAAAAATATTTTCTTAAATTTCTATAGCACTTAAATATTTGATATAATAATTGTTAGAATCAAGAGAAAAATTTACATGAAAAGATGGAACTCTTATTTTGGCAGGTCATTATAATACTTAGAGAATTTAGAAATTATTAGTTTTAAACTAGAGCTATCAGCTTTTTTTTAACTATTAAAGAAAATTAGTTATTATTTGAAAACCCTTCTTTTTTTATAAAACTATAATTGAAGAAAAAATTCAATTAATCCCTATGTAAAGATAGAATATTCGCTTACGAATCTTAACTTATAAATATAATAGAATAGTAGTGACTACTACGATATTGTACAAACATTTTCCAAACTAAATTTAGGATTTAAGAATTTTGGGTGAATAATTCACATATGGGCCTCAAGATAATGACAGCAATACTTTATAAATGAAACTCAATTATTAAAATTTATTTCAGAATTAGAGGCTTATTTCTTCAAACCAATAACATTTTAAATAAAAATTACAAAATTCTTTAGAGAAATCTTGAAAGAGTACTTTAGCATTTTCAAAGACAATATATTCCAAAATTTATTGAAGAATATGGTATTATTTTTCGCAGAATTTCTTTTGCAAATGATGAAAAATAATAAAATCCGAATTAGAATTTTAATTTTTAGGTTGATATATATTTAAAAATTTACTTACATTAAATATTGATTTAAGATCCTTTTTCTCTAGATCTACTTTGATTGTTCCATTATCTTGAAGTATTCTTATTGGTAAAAAAATGGTTCTTAACTTTCTTATTATAATATTGTTAATATTTTTTCATTTTTTGAGTATATATTATGAATTGTGTGTATATTGATTAATATAAGTAAATAAAAAATAAAAGATTTGTAGATGTCTTTGGAATAGGATAGGAAGGTTTGTTAAAAACATTAGATGGAGATAACAACTATTGATTTAAAGTAATCAACGAGTAAGGAGGAGAAATACCTTTGTATAAAGTGTTTAATAGAGAAGATTGATATATAAAATATGGTTTTGGTGGATGAGACTAAAATTATGATTAAGGAGATGAAAAGTGAATAATAAACACTGAAAATTAAGGAAAATTAAAGAAGAATAGAAACATTTAAATAAATTCAATGTTTGATTAAAGAATACAAAGTTTAAGTTGAGAATGTTATTGAAAAGATAATAATTAATATTCATTAGAAAATATAATTAATTGAAAAGGATTTAGAAGAATTAGATTAAAAATCTAAAATTTATAAATTTGAAGATGAAGTTGAAATTCTATCATCAAATTATAAAGGAAGTTTTAATTATGAAATTCCTATAGAATTTGATAAATTAGAAGATGATAATCAATTTTATGATTCTCTCTAATCAATGTTTTAATCATTTACAAATAATCACTCATATACATAAGTTATTGATATATTATAATAGAATCAAAAAATTGAAAAGTCAAAGGAAATTAAAGTATCTAGTATTTAAAAAGAGAAACAAGTAGATAAATCAGTAATTATTGTATATTAATATTTAGAAAACACCATCTCTCAACATCAAATGCAATAAACATGGAAAAGAAATAATAATGTTGAATTTAGAACCAAATGAAACTTAAATTTCAAG